CAAAACTTAGTATTGTTTGTAATCACAGTAAGGAGTTTCTAAAATTGTCTCACAGAATTTGTGGTAAAGTTTCTGCTTAGTTAGGCTCAGTCACGATTCTGCTTTCATACTCTCCAACTATTGAAATTAGGTTGGTATTTAAAACTATCCACAGTATGCCATTCACCTTCATATCTTTCTCTGATTGGATAACTAAGCTACTCGTAATAAAGAAAATTAATCTAAGTGGTATAAATAACTAGTCACAACACTTAAGGCTTAATGAATCAAAGTTTTTCATCTTTATCTAAACTACCGAAAAGCCATGGTAGAGGAACTTCGGAAATTTATTTTCTTTCATTTTAATTAAATTATAGCTTTAATATATCTCGAAAATTCATATTATGAATCCTAAGTTGTATTATATTGAGAAAACTAGATTAAATTGACATAAAGCAGTAGTTTGACAAATAATTACAGCTTACTCTGTGTTTGAATGTATTTTAATTTCGTTCCTAATACGCAAATTTCAGCATCTGAGTTATTCAATGCACCGAGATTGTGGTAGAATGTCTAATAACTCAGTTCACTGCTTGACTTTAAATTCAGACAACATACTGAGTCAACATCGAAATAAGAGGTTGTCGCATTTCAGTGCGGTATTCAACGCTGATTGACATCACCTGCAGAACCATTGTAAACCTGGAAAGATAGGATATCATTACAAATTATAGAAAAAAATGAGGGAATCTGTCCTAATCAGACCTTTTCGTCGAACAGACCTCAGTAACGCTTTATCAAAGTCAGCCGCTGATCAACATATTTCTCTACAACGTATAATATGAAACTGTGTGACGACCAGCTACTGATAGAATTTCTTTACCTGTACAAAGGTACGGTGTTACAGGGTTGCAAGTGCAGTATGTGTATAAGAGGCGCCACAAAAAATTCATAGGAAAGACGAACAGAAAAGCCACAGCTCACAACTCAGAAAGTAAACAGCATATACTTACATCGTAATCCAAAACATTCACAACACAACACCGAAAACGTGCAGGAGCCAAATTCCATGTCCTAAGATCCACTAAACACACCAAAATAATACCCGAAAAAGTATATATTTCATACACCAATATGAGTCCTACCATCGGCCTGATTTCCAAGAAGTCTCACTGGAATCCAAATTAATTAGTGGAACTATCAATGTCCGCACACTACAAAACCAAGTCAACCAACAAGCCTCACTAGCAAAACTCTAGCATCCAGGGCCATGGATGTGTGCTCTGTTTGTGAGACACTTCTGCAGGACCCAACTGTGGTTATTCACTTATTCTCACCTGGTCAATACAGTAAATCCGCGAAATTCAGTCGTAGAGTTAGTGGAGATTCGACGGCTAATTCCTTCGGTTTTACAAGTTTACGTGTGGCATTAGGTGCTAAGTCAGGAAGTGCACTGCTCGACTGGATTCGAGTTGACAGTCGCTTATTCACAGTTCCGCTGAACAGTACAGTGAGGAGCAGAAAGAATAGTGAAACTCTGCGTTGCCACTTCACAATCTTTGCTTACCTACTTACTGACTACAGTTGAAATGAAGTGAAAGATGAGCTTTGCGGAAAGCTGGTAAACCTGCTTCTACAGACCCGACACCCAGATGCAATTGCCACACACCAGGTGATATAAATGCAAAAGTGGGTAGGCTAAGCACGAGGGACAGGCAATCATAAGGCGCCTTAGAAATCCCAGCCAAACAAACAGATAATGGTGATCGCCTGCTACAACTATGCTCAGGTAACCATTTATTTCTGGCTAACAGAAACTTCAGAAGTGAAGCGACACATTGGCTGACGGGTAATCCACCGACCCCAACTCAGTGATGGATGCAGATAAACAATACTTCTATGCGTCATCGCCGGGGTGAGTTGGTGAAAGGTTGTCACTACTTCTGTAGTACGTGTTTGGATAAGAGCCACGCGTTGGTCCGAGCAAGCGTATGTCTGTGAGCAAATGAACGTGAAAAGACTATAACAGCAAGACCATTGCGAGTGTAGCTTGACAGTAAGAGGACTAAAGGGAATTTTAGTGAGAAACTGACTAAACGGTTATCGGAATACACAAACAGCACTCATCCGGGAGAAGCCTGAAACCATCTCTAGTCTGCTGTAAAAACAGAGATGAAGATCGTAGTTGACTCTCAAAGAGCGCTTAGAAAGGGCCAGTAAATATCAGGAGCCTGTTCTGAACTAATGGATGCACGCGAACACATCCATGCAGTCTCCGAGCACAATGCGGAGCGGAAGCAACTCAAATATAGACTGAGAAGAAGTCTAGGCGATGACTGTGAGCAGTAGTTGGTATTAAAAAGCTAAAACGATAGGAGTGGAAGACAGCGATGATAGGTGACAATAGAAAGTTACTTAGACTTATCAAGGAAATTCAGGACGAAAGATTAGTGGTTAGTGAGACAACGGGGGAGAGGGGTAGGTCTTTAGTTCACTTACAGAGGAATAACGTGAGGAACACATCGATAAACTGTTCGACTGGTCATCATTCTCTGTTCCATTGCTTAATATCCTGTCGGGACCTAAAAGAGACATTGAAACAGCCCCTCCAACTTCTTGATGAATTTGAAAAGGCTGTAAGTAAGCCGAAATTAGGAAGGGCACTAAGTGCAGCTGGGAAAAAAACTGGGGGGTATTTAGGCTGGTGGTCGAGGATTGCTGGCCAGCCTAACCGAAGTGTTAGCTAGCATATGGAAACAGGATATGATCCCCTCTAGATCGACTCAATCACTGATTGTTCCAGTCTTCAAAATGACGAGAAGTACTCTTGTGGTAACCATAGGGGAATCAGTTTGATAAATACAATATGGAAGATTCTAGGCTCCACAATTATAGGACGTCTAAGTGAAGCTGGAGAGAAGTAGGCCTGAGAAAACCAAGTAGGTTTCACACCTGGTCGGAGTTGCATCAACCAGTTCTTCACCCTCCACTAGGTGTTGAAATATTTAATACTTGCCAGTACCCGACACTAGCCGTGCTCCTCAACCTAAAGGCAGTATTTGTCTTAATTATTGGAGAAATTTCATGGCAGTGTCTCTCACTGGAAGAGGTGCTGACTAAGTACGTCACTCTGTTGAAGCCTATGCATTCGAATCCTTATGGGTGTGTTAGAGGGGATGGTGAGTTGTCAGTTGAGTTGTGTACGTAGATTGGTGTTCATCAAGCATATTCACTCTATCCATTCTCATCCGATTTTATCATAGAAGTTCTCATGGAGGTCTTCTTCTCGTCGTCTGACTTCACAGGGAATGATCTCGTCACAGAAGAATCCCTAATAGATCCAGAGTACTCAGATGGTATAATCCTGTTAGATAAAGACGCCGACGACATGCACAGTCTACTGAACGTCTTGAAACACGCTTCTCAACACCCAAATACGAATTGCTGCTTCATGAATGATCTATGTTGGTGTCTTGTCTCACAGTAGGAAATGGAGTGGTTAAGCGCATTGATCACTTCACTTGCCTGAGGAGTTGGGTCAGCCCTGGTGGTTCAGTGATCGGACAAGCCTCTACACAGATACAACGGGCTTGATTGGCTTCTGTCAGCTTACGCCATCTGTGGCGCCGCCGTGATATCCAACTGTTTATTACGAATCGAGTGTACGGCGCTGCAGTTCACTCTGTTCTACTATGGCTACTATGGCTGTGAAACTCAGTCATCAAAGTCAGAAGGCATGAGAAGACTTCAGTTTCCTGACCGTTCTTGAGTTTGTAGAATAGACTTGTCGTGTTTTGTTTTGGCACTGCGTTTGCACTCTTTGAGATAGCGAAACGCGGTGACTGGAGATTCTAGGTGATATGGCTCAGAATCGATCTTTGTAGCGTAGTTTTATCTTCACATTTTCTTCATCTCTATCGTCATTCTTAACCCAGTGTTTTGTTATTCCTCCTTCCTCCTTTGGACCGCTTTTGACCGATTCCGTTCTATCTCTTTCATCTTAGTGGTTTTTTACTTGGTGCGCTACCATAAAGTTTCGCTACCTAGACCGTTATGCAATAATTCCCTGACGTATGTTGATATCAATGATGATGGTTCTGTTATATTTTTGCTTACTGGTTTCCGTTTTGCATACGTGATAGACGTACCCACATCAAATAAACATTAACAGAAGGGATTCGATTGCGTCAAATCGTCTGTGACCAAAGAACTGGAATACTTGTATACAGTATATCTTTCTGAATTCCCACAAAATAATGACATATAACATGCTATTTGTCAATAATTTTTATACACACGAAATAGGATACTGGAAATCAAATGCTGAATGACAGTAAAACTTTTATTGCCACGCGATACAATGTGATAAGCCTATGAATGCTTGTAACGTTCGAACGATACTCTTTGCCTTCAGTGCTGACTTGGTTCTTCGGAAACAGAAGAGGTGATAGGACAAAATACAAGTATTGTGAGGTTAAAATATTTACAAACTACAATGGGCATATATGTTCCCAAGGTTTTCTAGAAAAACGTCATCCATTGGTTTCTGCACTTTAACCAATCTGAACTTGAAAGTTGCAACCATGTGTTTTTGTATTGGTTGGTTGTAAAAGATCTCCATGATTTTATAATTTTATGAACGATTCGGACAATTGTGTTGAAGTCGATGGGACCATATTTCTATAAGATGTTCACAGATACTATCTGATTACTCCCACAAAGGTTGAAAATTTTGAAACAAGATAGTATTCAGTCAGTATATTCCTGTCTAATTTACTATTATCTCTATGAAATAATAAACAGCAGTAATGTTATGACCAATATCTATGGATAGATTTGAGTCTATGCTACACGTAAGTTGTTACAAAAATGAGCAAGTAAAACAACTTGTGTAAGTCTGACAATGTAGTTCTGCCGCTTAGCATAAGAATCTGTGAGAGAAAGTAACCGAGGGTAAACGTAAGTTAAGACTTTAGCAAGTACACAGAATGTATAGATAGTTAGTGACAGAAACCATTGATAATGTTTGGTAACGAGAAATGTAGAAGGCAACGTATCAACCATTAATATTGCATGGTTCACAAATATCTTTCTAGGTGTGGGTCGGTTATTATCCTAGGTATCAAATATCATCCTCATAAAAATAAGTGATTGTATTTATCTAGAAACGAACAAGTGCGTAAGTCAGTTAAAATTTGGTACAAAACCTTTTAAATGGTTCCCAACCCCCTAATTTCAAGTTTAGAATTATATGAAACTCACATTATCAAAAGAAGCCCGTTAGAAAATTTTTTTACATTACTACTACTACTGCTAGTGCAGGATTTTACGGATGCTAACAGAAGCTTTAACCCTAATGATAACTGTATGATACGTATTGACGTGCAAATGTATCAGTATGAAACTGACAAAGAACATATTTGTTGAGTGTGAGAATGCAAATTGAACTGCTATTCATCTCAGGGAACCAGAAAACCATGGAACACTTGCTGGTTGGAACATATTTCAATTGAATTGGACCTTTTCTCGCTTGCAAGCAGCACTCACTCAAGGTTACCTGTTCAAGAATTATGCGAATTAGGTTTGTTGGTCGACCAAGCAAACGGGTGCTTAAAATCGGCTGTTTTATGGTTGATCTCACCTAAATTTCATTTCGAATGGTTTTCCAGTAATGTATACACAAAACATGTACTATTAGCACTGACCGTAGACTATTCCACATAAGTTATGTTAAGGATGTTTGGTGATCAAAAACTTTGCATCTTAACTTGTAAAAGCAAGGACGACTTTATATGCAGTAATGTTGACAGTATGTTAGTCACCATAAATTTAAATATACAAATAAGCGTTTACTTTCTTTTATAGGTAATCTGAGTGAAAAATATCAAAATATATTTCACCGTAATCCGCTTTTTGTCGGTATGAGGCTTCCATATGCAAGAGAGATAGATCCACTGGACAAAAGGCTGGCAAAGGTTTCCCAATTAACTCTTGGATTTATAAAGGTGATTTAAAGTAAAATTTAACGAATATATTATTGATGCATTTGCAGTCATCAGTAGATAAAAATAAACATTCGATGACAGTTCATGTGAAATTAGCACCCTTCTTCTTCTTCAATAATCATATTTTAGAAAAATCATACTGATGAAAATTTTCTTTATCACTTAACCAGACTTAGGAATATGGTTCTCCGATTTCAGCATTCCAGATTTGATACCAACACATGTTCTCGTGGGAAACTATTTTGAATCACTATCATTTTTGAACGCATTTTAACAGCTAATATGGAATTTCAAACTTAATAAGTCTATTTCAAATGGCACACAGTGACGCACCAAAACTTCAATCACCCAGTCAAAATCAACATACAATCAGACATTACCGCATAAGTATGACTGCATACAACATTTTACAACATGGACTTAACTTGATCAAGTAGGCAAAAGCATGGAAAATGAAATGTCATAGTCAGGTGAATCAATAGAGGGACAAGAAGATATATGATGATTTTCAAATTCCACCAAAATCTCTACGACTGACGTCCATGTTGCTGACGTGGTGGCAAAACAAAACACGACAAGTCTATTCTACAAACTCAAGAACGGTCAGGAAACTGAAGTCTTCTCATGCCTTCTGACTTGATGACTGAGTTTCACAGCCATAGTAGCCATAGTAGAACAGAGTGAACTGCAGCGCCGTACACTCGATTCGTAATAAACAGTTGGATATCACGGCGGCGCCACAGATGGCGTAAGCTGACAGAAGCCAATCAAGCCCGTTGTATCTGTGTAGAGGCTTGTCCGATCACTGAACCACCAGGGCTGACCCAACTCCTCAGGCAAGTGAAGTGATCAATGCGCTTAACCACTCCATTTCCTACTGTGAGACAAGACACCAACATAGATCATTCATGAAGCAGCAATTCGTATTTGGGTGTTGAGAAGCGTGTTTCAAGACGTTCAGTAGACTGTGCATGTCGTCGGCGTCTTTATCTAACAGGATTATACCATCTGAGTACTCTGGATCTATTAGGGATTCTTCTGTGACGAGATCATTCCCTGTGAAGTCAGACGACGAGAAGAAGACCTCCATGAGAACTTCTATGATAAAATCGGATGAGAATGGATAGAGTGAATATGCTTGATGAACACCAATCTACGTACACAACTCAACTGACAACTCACCATCCCCTCTAACACACCCATAAGGATTCGAATGCATAGGCTTCAACAGAGTGACGTACTTAGTCAGCACCTCTTCCAGTGAGAGACACTGCCATGAAATTTCTCCAATAATTAAGACAAATACTGCCTTTAGGTTGAGGAGCACGGCTAGTGTCGGGTACTGGCAAGTATTAAATATTTCAACACCTAGTGGAGGGTGAAGAACTGGTTGATGCAACTCCGACCAGGTGTGAAACCTACTTGGTTTTCTCAGGCCTACTTCTCTCCAGCTTCACTTAGACGTCCTATAATTGTGGAGCCTAGAATCTTCCATATTGTATTTATCAAACTGATTCCCCTATGGTTACCACAAGAGTACTTCTCGTCATTTTGAAGACTGGAACAATCAGTGATTGAGTCGATCTAGAGGGGATCATATCCTGTTTCCATATGCTAGCTAACACTTCGGTTAGGCTGGCCAGCAATCCTCGACCACCAGCCTAAATACCCCCAGTTTTTTCCCAGCTGCACTTAGTGCCCTTCCTAATTTCGGCTTACTTACAGCCTTTTCAAATTCATCAAGAAGTTGGAGGGGCTGTTTCAATGTCTCTTTTAGGTCCCGACAGGATATTAAGCAATGGAACAGAGAATGATGACCAGTCGAACAGTTTATCGATGTGTTCCTCACGTTATTCCTCTGTAAGTGAACTAAAGACCTACCCCTCTCCCCCGTTGTCTCACTAACCACTAATCTTTCGTCCTGAATTTCCTTGATAAGTCTAAGTAACTTTCTATTGTCACCTATCATCGCTGTCTTCCACTCCTATCGTTTTAGCTTTTTAATACCAACTACTGCTCACAGTCATCGCCTAGACTTCTTCTCAGTCTATATTTGAGTTGCTTCCGCTCCGCATTGTGCTCGGAGACTGCATGGATGTGTTCGCGTGCATCCATTAGTTCAGAACAGGCTCCTGATATTTACTGGCCCTTTCTAAGCGCTCTTTGAGAGTCAACTACGATCTTCATCTCTGTTTTTACAGCAGACTAGAGATGGTTTCAGGCTTCTCCCGGATGAGTGCTGTTTGTGTATTCCGATAACCGTTTAGTCAGTTTCTCACTAAAATTCCCTTTAGTCCTCTTACTGTCAAGCTACACTCGCAATGGTCTTGCTGTTATAGTCTTTTCACGTTCATTTGCTCACAGACATACGCTTGCTCGGACCAACGCGTGGCTCTTATCCAAACACGTACTACAGAAGTAGTGACAACCTTTCACCAACTCACCCCGGCGATGACGCATAGAAGTATTGTTTATCTGCATCCATCACTGAGTTGGGGTCGGTGGATTACCCGTCAGCCAATGTGTCGCTTCACTTCTGAAGTTTCTGTTAGCCAGAAATAAATGGTTACCTGAGCATAGTTGTAGCAGGCGATCACCATTATCTGTTTGTTTGGCTGGGATTTCTAAGGCGCCTTATGATTGCCTGTCCCTCGTGCTTAGCCTACCCACTTTTGCATTTATATCACCTGGTGTGTGGCAATTGCATCTGGGTGTCGGGTCTGTAGAAGCAGGTTTACCAGCTTTCCGCAAAGCTCATCTTTCACTTCATTTCAACTGTAGTCAGTAAGTAGGTAAGCAAAGATTGTGAAGTGGCAACGCAGAGTTTCACTATTCTTTCTGCTCCTCACTGTACTGTTCAGCGGAACTGTGAATAAGCGACTGTCAACTCGAATCCAGTCGAGCAGTGCACTTCCTGACTTAGCACCTAATGCCACACGTAAACTTGTAAAACCGAAGGAATTAGCCGTCGAATCTCCACTAACTCTACGACTGAATTTCGCGGATTTACTGTATTGACCAGGTGAGAATAAGTGAATAACCACAGTTGGGTCCTGCAGAAGTGTCTCACAAACAGAGCACACATCCATGGCCCTGGATGCTAGAGTTTTGCTAGTGAGGCTTGTTGGTTGACTTGGTTTTGTAGTGTGCGGACATTGATAGTTCCACTAATTAATTTGGATTCCAGTGATGCTTTTGTCTGTCGCAGGCTTCTTTTTGGACGTTGATTTGTTTTTAGGTAACTGGTTTTTTGTTGGTTATCATGACATATCCTTCAGAGCTGATTTATACCTGTTTGGTGACGTTCACACTTATCCCTTAGAAAATATGGAGATTTGCTCTGATTGGTTTTCAGTTACTGCAAGATCCTTTCGTCCAACCGTGAAGGACGACAGATTATTAGGACTTCTGTATTCTAAAGGCTGAATTTTTGTAGCCTGTTTTCACATCTGGAAGACAGCAGCAGCATGTTTTATCCCGTCCTTAGCAGGGAATCACTTCATTCCTTTCACAGCACCTTTCATTTTGGAGTGCGACTTCTCCTATTTAATTCTGTCAACTCGTAATTAATAACACTGTTTTTCATCTTACCCCTTTCCAACATATTTTTCTGGTGTGGTATAACCTCTAGGAAGCAAGTTTTTCAACATTCTAGGTCGTTAAGTAATTTTGATGTTTAATCCTGACCACCATGTCAAAGTCGCCCTAATCTACGTGGGATGGAGTTTCGCTTAATAAATTGCGTTTGGAGCACAAACTATTTTTCTTAGTAGTTTTATGATGATCGAAGATTTATCTTTGAGTCGTCATTGAAGAATTTGTGCTGTATTGCTGCATGCTGATTCAAATAAACTTTTTTCGTATGGCAGGACACTTTGCTACATTGTTCGAATTCACGTACATTAGCTGATATTGAATTAAAATGTGGAGATTGTGTTCATATTGTGCGACTGACCTCTAAATGATGTAAACCTATCAAGCAGTTGTACAAGGTTTTCATGGCTTGCTAGGTCAGGTAAGCGTCATTAACCAATGCGCTGGCTTCCCTTTGGGCACATATATGTAGACGTGATATATACGGCTGGTCATGCACTCCTATTCACAGATTAGGACACTAAGTCCTGGGTATCTGCGCTTACCTCCTGAGCAGTTATGGCGGTCAGTGCGCGGAGTCGGTTATGCTACCATGGCCGTAACTCACTTACATCACTCTACTAATATCGATCCACCTCCAGTTTCGGGTGAATGGTGGTACCTAGGCACTTAAGCTCTTATTGCCTGCGTGATTCGAACGTGACTGATGAGGTTCAGGAATAAGTTGGGGACCGCTTCCGAATATCCGTTCCTCAAGTAGAAGGCGTTATACAAGCTTATTGGCCTTGAGTTTTCGATAGCGATAGCTGGCGCAGTCACCAGGATACCCAACATCATAGAGATAAAACATACCAGAAGTATAATTAGGCGCGCCGGCCAACTCAGTTCCGGTAGCATTTTTCTCGGTTGAAACTGCGGGCATTTACCTTATATCCTTCATCATACCTGACATACGTTATGAAACGCGCATTATCCTACTGCCCATGACGCAAAAACAGCATATAGCTGTAAAAAAAATGTCCTCAGCTTACAGACTTGGTACATTGGAAGTCTATGAACTTCTGATTAGCTCCGCCGTACCCACATTTAAGGGTATTTCTTTACTTTAAAACCCTAGCTTTGGACAGAAAGATCTGGCTGTGTTTTGGTTCGAAGGTTGATATCTTCTTAACAACGGAAACTACGAGGAGGTCCACTGTCGTGCATCCACACCCCTCCTTTCCATAGACACCTGGGTCAGAAAATACGGCTTAAATCTACGCTGTCAATCAGACGTTTGGATAGTGGTACAAAATACCATGACCATCTGAATTGTCCGGCAAGCCGGATATACAACTGAAGACGACTAAATGTGTACCGTCGGCTAGGAATTTGACCAGCAGCCCAAAATAACCACATCACCAATTAGATGACAATTTATTTGGCTATTAACGTATATTTTTGACCCTAAATGAAGCAAGCATGTATAAGTCCTTAAAAATGGGGTTACGCATAAGGCAGAAATATATGCTGAAGAAAAAGGGATTGCGGAGTCTACCACGTAAAGTTGCAGAAGATAAGAGATGAGAAAAAAACTTGAGAAAAGACAGACAAAATGGAGACCATCGGGCCAGGGGATAAAGTGGAAGGGGGGAGGAAATGTCCGCGACAAATGATTATTACAGAAACGGAGTAACTGCATCAAAGTTTATGGAGAAGCTGCAACCGTATTCATATAGTTCTATGCATGTAGGTATCATAAATTTCCAGAGGAATGTTAGAAAATGTCACAAATATCAACTGTTGTGAAGCTGTGATTCCGAGGGGCTTTGACACTCAAGAGATCGATGATACCACGTTTTTAGGTATATGTTGGATCAAGTTCAGTGAAGATGACGTCAAATCGTAGTGGATGTGGACGTATTACTGTACTTACAAGTTTTTAACAATCGGCTTTTATCAAAATTCGAGTCGTCACAAACGGTGACATCTACTATACGGATGGTTTTGTCATAGATGATTTTGAGGTCTGATTTGTAAAGGCTTCTGCCATAAGGGATAATGAGCTTCATTAAAATTTTTATCCTTCCATCACAGCTTGCCAGCATTCAATTTGTCGATGACATTGTGACTGAGCAGTGTTGAAGGATGTGCGAAAGATCGTTGTGGTGAACATATAAACTAAGGCACCAGGTATCTTTGACAGCTTTAGAACCACGAGCGCTAAAAAGACTTCGTCTTATTTGAATGTCCCGGATGTACAACCTGGGTAATACCATCTGTGGGTTCCTTAACCAATTATTTGATTCTTTACTACTTGATGCACCTCTTAGGCCTCTGCTGTCGTAGGTATGATACAACTGCTTGGCCAAATATTTTTGCCTCAAGTACGTACATCATCTTTGTGAGCGGTAGAATAAAAATTGGAGATACACAGGAAAAGGCTGAAGTGTAGGGAGGGAACTGCCAATCGAATGTAAGGTGAATACGATGCCAGCACCCTCTCAGCACGTTGTCGACGGTCATGGTTACTCTTTCATGAGCTGTAAATGATATAAACCTGATGCATTTAGAAAAACATTTCACATCCCAATTTTATTTCTGCTCACTCGAAGAGAATTAAACCTTAACGAACGGATTTTTATAAACTTGTAAACTTTTTAGTGTCATTGTTGCAATTAGTTGCGGTTCCCGTCAAAACTTTTCTGTTAACTTGTCGGTAATTATTATTATTAGCTCCAACAAACTCTTAGAGAGGAGAATTAGGCTAAACTAAGCTTATACAAACTGTATTTCAGTGTGTTTGGTTCCAACTGAATTCAACTAAGAAAAATATACAGAGCAAGGAACTATGAAGCAAGTAGATTTGATATCCTGTACTGATTAGAAACTTAATTTACATTTAAAAAGGGAGACCACCTTACCGTCTTATATATAGCAGCTTCCGACTCTCCCATTGTTGCCTTGTAAAGCGAAGTCGCACAATCTACAAGCTTTGGACAGAAGTCTGCAAAATAATCTCGTATTTATCAGATTAGTTTAAACTCTCAAGCTATAGGAGACAGACAAGTCTTCAATTCAATGACTACTTAGTTAACTTCTTAGGTTGCTTAGACATCCAACTTACCACTTTGGATTAGATTTGTAACATTTTAATATTGACCAGGATTTATTGCTCTTTTGGTCCCGCAAAAGAAACCCAAATCAGCCCAACATTCATCTTTCTGTGCTGACTGTTTGCACTGTATTTTTGAATTTTTTACTCACGCCTTCCTGTGTATTGGACAGTATTTTCCTACTTTAAATAACCATATCAAAATGTTTGCTAACTGAAGTAAGTTGAAGATTTGTGCACCTGTTGTATCTTCTTCATTCAGTTTTTATTATTTTCATTATTTCAGAGTTGCCTTCGAATTGATGCTAATGATCGACCAACATCGTCTGCTCTTCTACGAAGCGAATATTTTACTCGAGATAATTTTGCATCCATATTTTTGGAAGAACTGAAGAATTTGATTAAAACTGAAACAGAACAGAATATACCTTCCTCTTCTACAAACACTGTTGTCAGGGAAAGCAACACAATTAGTAGTAATAATTTACTAAGAAATAAAATGATCCACTTAATAACAGCAGAAGTAACATTGACAATATGAATAATGATCTTGTGCAATCGATGACAACTGCTACAAGATCTTGTGATACAGATATAAAAAATGCTACAAAGCTAGTTAAGGAGAAATTAACTACAGAGAGGAGCGACTCATCAGTCAATTTGCAAACTGATCAAAAGATCACTGAAGCGTTTGAAGTAAGCTAAATTAAGTTAGCTTTCATACGGTTTTGCATAAAAATATTATAATGGTTTGTCTACTCAAGTATTACTGAAACCACTGTTAACTTGTGGGATATTTTACCAGATTTTTCAAGCATACAGAAATCTGACTTCCAACTCTGTAAATCCAGCTTCTTCACTATGTACTGAAAGATTTACCATGTAATTTTAGGGACTCCAAATGAGTGAATGAAAGGAAATCGAATAACCGTTTTTAATATGTAGTATGTTTTCATTTACTTAGAAAAAAGCAGGGTTTTTGATTCGTATTCTGTTCACTAAACTTACAAATCACTGAGACTGGAATTTGATTTTGGACAATTTCGCTAGGACATCAATTATTGAATATAAATCTTTTTCATCTCAAGGTATTCACTTTTTCACACAAATATTTTGAGGCTAACACAAACCCTTGTTCTCTTTTGTCTTTTAAAAGTAAGAAACGTAATAAACTTAGGAATGGTTCATCTACAAAAGCTAAAATGAGAAGGGTGTCGACTGTTTAAATACTTATACGAGGACATTATTCTATATTTAATTGAATTCTATTATTACATCGTCAAAACAAGACCTCATTCAGTGACTAAAGTACAGCAAAGTTAAATATTTAAACGTACAAACAGTCTTTAATCTGCTAGTCAAATAAAGGTTACTGAATTTTGTAGGAGACATTATGATCACCACTCAGTTATACAAAATAAGTTGTAAAACCTGGAAATTTAAATAGTTTTCAAATAAAAATGCAGAGTACTTTTTGTTGTTTGTAAATGCTTTACGGTTTTGTTATGCATTACCAATGAAACAGGTGAAAGTCCTGAATTCGGCAAACTTCCAAAGATTTAACGGAATAAGATTTCTAAGAAAGCTTCTTTCTCTCGCGTCCGTGTGTCCCATAAAAAATTTTAAAAATCATTTTAAATCAACAAAGTTTCTATACAAAACAATGTTTCGGCTAATAAATGAGATTCTCCATTCATTGTCATCAAGAGTATTACTATTTCATTCGGTTTCGTGTCATATAGTCCGTTAACAGGCAGAGAAAGGAAGATAGGACATTGCACAACAGTACGTATGTATGATGCAAGCTTGCATTCTCGCTAATAGAAAGTTTATCTAGATGACTGGAAAACAGAACGGATATAGCTGAATGAATGTGGAAAATTTTGGTTTCAAAATCCTAGCGGAAAATAACATCGTCATAACTTTCATCATTAGGTATTTGCTTCTCTAAATTTTGGTCTAGTGTTGTTTAGGTATAAATTATGTATCAGCAAATCATTTCACATTGATACTTCGATACTGGAAAACAGTACTAACAAATATATATATATATATATATATATATATATATATATATAAAACACTGAAAACTTCCCACACGCCTTCCACCGACAACTACAACTGCCAAACAAGGTGCACATAGCACAAGACACCACACAGAGTGCACATGAATTAGCAACAATGTGACTATCTCAAACACAAAACAGAGCAGGCGAGAAAAATCAACTTCGAAAACACGGACTTTAAAATGTCAGAAATTTAGATGGAAAAGTGTATACATCTGCGCTATTATCGCATGTAGTTCTCCATATCACAAGCAGCATCCAACCATTAGTTCATACCATCTCAAATACCTTAGTAAGGTAGTCAGTTTAATATGTACCTTAAGTGATGAGAAAAATGTTGACTTGGCATACGCATGTAGGTCATGAGCATTACTAATATGTGTTCTAGCGAATCACTTCCCAAGATTTCTGTACTAACTGGACTATACTTTCTTTCTGGGTTGCTTGGAAGTTTAGGAAAATGCAATGATGCGTTTGTGCTAGTGAAGCCCTCCATTTTTCACATCGACACCTTTATCAGGCATATAGTGAGCTGTTACAATCATTCTGCTGCTGTTCCACTCCGCTTCTTGACTTGCTTTTCTTTGCTTTTGTTTTCTTCTTTTACTGCTTGCTAATTTTCTTTATGAAATTTGAAAAATTGAGCAGATGGACTATCGATCACGTTTTATGTGACATTTCTGCATATTTGTAATTACCTCAGCATACGACCGATCCTAACTCTTGCTGAACAATAAGATAAGAAAGAATGGTAATGCTAACGAGATACCAGTACCTGCTCAATTTTAGTAACCCAGTCGAATCACTTTTAATTGTATCATTTGTTTATCACAGAAATAATGCATATTTTTTTAGAAAAATAAGCCACTAAAAATCTTCAGCGACAATCCTACCTTCAATTCAAATAACACGAAATTCTTACCATCAGAAGATAAGAATCCTAAATCTATGGTGACAGAACACGCTAATCAATCACATGAATCATGTGAAATGAAAACTGGGACATTTGAATATTTAGTTGCTGATGAAAACGTCGATCCACAGGTTAGTCAATTTTAATTTATTGTCCTAAGGTTTCTCTTTTCTACTGTATCCAATTCAAATGATCTAAAAAATTTGGAAAATTATATTTTTCCTGACTACCTGAATATTATTGGATAAATACGGACATTCGTAAAGATATTCTCATATAAAGTGAGATTAAGCAATGTGTTAAAAAAAATAACAATGATGCTTTTAAGTAGATTTGGATCCTTTGGTATTTTGAACAAAGCTAGAAGGACTAGATTTGCTGGGTAAAATGATATGAATTTATTTCATGAACGCTCCTCAGCTGCGAATAGCCTAAAATTACAATATCTATTAGCAAATAAGATAAATTAAAACTAGGAGGTCAACAAGTAATCTTAAGTTGTGCATCAAAACCATTGCGAATGCATATAACATGTAAGAGTGAGGGGTAAGGGTAAAGGTAAGAAAAGTAAGAAATGAACAAATAACGTTAGCTAACAGATTACGTAACATGCAAATTGATGATAGTGGTCACAGTCTTATGGTATTCACCTCCTCACATGTTACGTAATCTGTTAGCTAACGTTATTTGTTCATTTCTTACTTTTCTTACCTTTACCCTTACCCCTCACTCTTACATGTTATATGCATTCGCAATGGTTTTGATGCACAACTTAAGATTACTTGTTGACCTCCTAGTTTTAATTTATCTTATTTGCTAATAGATATTGTAATTTTAGGCTTTTCGCAGCTGAGGAGCGTTCATGAAATAAATTCATATCATTTTACCCAGCAAATCTAGTCCTTCTAGCTTTGTTCAAACCTGTACCGTTAATTACTAATATTAATGATAGATGGTGGCTAGCATACGAATTACCAATGTTGTAACGTTCTTTCATTCAGGAACGTTTTTTCATTTATTCCTGAAGTGGATCATGAACAACTATCGGGAAAGTGTGTAGATAAATTTTGTTGCAGCTAGAAGGTTCATTAGGTTCAAATCAAAAGTTCGTAAAATAGACAGCGCATAATAAAAAATCTTATCACTATTTCATACGCAAACCAATATATATATATATATATATATATATATATATATATATATTGATTCGGCTATCCTCGCTGAACCAACCTGGCCATGCCAATAATCAGCTTGGTTCCAAACATGCTTAGATCACTTTGTTCCGGCTAGCAGGCACCGTTGATCAGTGTACGTAAGTGGTTCACAGTTATTCATATCAGTCAGCAGTCTACTTCTTATAGGTTCATGAGGTGATAAAATTTCTGACATAGGTCATAGTAATAGGAACTAGTTATTTCAATTGTTGTCTAAGGACTTGGATATGCAAGGCAATATTAACTTATGTACCGCTGGATTTTGGGTCTAAAATATGTAATTTTTTTAAATAACAAGCTAAGCTAAGGTGCAGGTGAAATTGCATTTCACTCACCCTAATAACTACTCGATTTCGATCCATTAAAAATTCGAAATAAACCATGCTAGTTAAGTCACACTGTATAAGTGATTCTAACAAATATTCTCGAGGATTTTGACTGAATTAATGAAAAAAATTTATTTAGTTCGATGACATGCAGTTTAGTTGAAACCCTTCGATATCACTTTGTGTTATTCAACCCAGAAATATCTTTTACCTGCTTAGTCTGCTATCTCATACATAACTTGTGCGGAAACGATGATGAATTAATAGCGTTTCTGGAATACTTAGATCAGCATTATACACATGACTGGTCACCAGTAAATCCTCGATTCGTGATTCATATTTTATTCAATCCTTGTTTGAGCTTTATTGTGGTGTAGTCTATAGCAATTGGAAGTGACGAATTTTTTACAAATTGTCACTATTTTAATGTTTTGATATGGATATTTGATGGAGAGTTCATCAACTAAAGTGTCACAAAATGACACTTTAAAACATATATTCAATATTTTTATCAAATAATCGGTTTATTTGCATTACCTTAAGGTAATAAAAATATGCAATCTAATTCATCTTCATAGACGGAAAATTTCTTAAGTTAGCTTGATCAAACACTCTTCATTTAGCTTTGACTGGAATAGAAATAGAACTCCATTTGAAAAAGCTTTTGTTCATTTATATTTGTAATTTATCGAAATTTATCCCTAACGCCACTTACTTAATTTGGCTTGTGGACATTCAGTGAACAGCGCACGATATTCACATCATACCAACTACTCACTTCATAAAATTAAGATGAACGCTTTCTTGAAGTCGAAATAGATTTATCTGAGCTTAAAGCTTGTAATTTTAGTTCACTTCTTAAAAAGCAGAAGCATTTCAAAGCCTAAAGCAGGATTTAAACTGATCCTGACCTAGTGACCAAAACCGTTTTTCGTTTTGAATAATCACTTTCATTTTACTATCATAGACAAGTAGATTAGGGTCCCAGTAGACTGCTGTCACTGTTTGTCTTAAACGATGAATAGTTTGAATGGAGGTCCAAATAATGATGCACAAGAACCTTGGGATGCCCTTGACCTAGGAAACGGCAACTAGTTTCTTTCTCATTTCTTAAGAACTTGCTGTAATTGTTGTCGTTAACAACTCCAAAACTCACTGTTCTTCTTATTTAAAGCATTTGGTGGATTCCATGAATGCATCAAAACAAGATTATGAATCAAACGAAGTACCAGATAAGCATGATGATTTACAGACAAAAACCGGAATGCCAGTATGGGAAAAACAATGTGATCGGTCAAATGAAATGCCATTAATACCACAAGTGAGTTGCATGAAAGCAAATATAAGTTAAATTCCGTTGAATTCAACTAAATGTTCCACGTAGACTGGCTGGGTGGTTCATAATTCTGAATGAACAGACGGAAGTATATTGTTGAACAGTGTTTTCGTGAATGATACGTGTTATATTCATAAAAGAATTTGTTGAGAATACCACACACAGAAATACCCTATTGGTTTTTAAACTTACGGTGTGCTCCATCGTGTCGAAAGGGTTTATAGAGGATCACGGTATTTTTTTGTGATTACATGTGTAAAATATATTAGGTTACCAGTCATTATTTACTTTTGCCTGAAGGTCTTATGTAAAACTGAATAAAACTTGAAATATTTGTGTATAAATACTGATCTTTTAATTTTGTCACGAAAGTGACCGTGTTTTAATTGTAAAGCTATATTGGTATACAAATTGCTACTTGATAGTGGTTCGGTGTTCTCTAACCTTCGGTAGGCTCAGTGACATCTTCAGCACCAACTCTATAAAGAAGTGAGGCATAGCCGAATATTAGATAGATAGACAGATAGTGTTTTTATTGACAGTTGGGCTTGACACTCTGACCTCTTCAACCTTAAACTTCCTTCACTCACGTCATTAGATATTCTTTGTTGGAGGGAACTGTGCTGTTTGTTGCTGTCACATGGTGCATCACTATTGATTCACCCAGCCAATTCGCCCTTGGTTGATCGGTGACTGTTTTCTTCCTAAGTAGATTGTAGATTGGGTTATATACACATATCTGTTGATTGACATTTCGGTTGAATGCCATGCTTCTAGAAGTTCTTTTACAGTTTTAGAACCTGCCCTTCGAAGTATTTCCACATTCTCCCAGTTGAATTTTTTGTCATGATTGTCTCCATGCATTGAAACCAAGGAGACCCCCTCATGTCGCTTTACTGCCAGTTGGTGTTCATGAATTCTCTGACCAATTCAACTAACAGACTAGCCAACATAATTCTGTGAACAATTTCTGCGATTTATTTTGTAGATTATATTTGTCCTGTCTTTTTTGGCAATGGATCCTTTGATTATAAATACCTAGGCCATAGTTGCCGAGTCTGATTGAATCACTATAGGAATATATTTTAATACAATCCCAGGGTCTTTGCACAATATACTGTGTAGCAACTTTGTTGGTTTGTGTTCCACTCTGATTCGAAAGGATGTAGCAATCGGTTGACTATTTCTGGGCTATCTCTGATGTAAGGTAGTGTATTGTATCTAAAAACTTGAGGCATTTGTCATGTCTTCGGCCTTGCTGATAAAGACTTTTTAATAAAATTGGGTGGATAATCAGTGACTTTGAACACTTTTTACAGGTGGGTTTCTTCAGCTTTCCGTACAGCTTCAGTGTCCAACCTGTTTTAGCTCTTGAGATTAATGTTTTTACACAACATTTCTTATGAGCTGTAGGATAATTGGTGTTGTATTTCAGTATTTGATCTGTGTGCGTGTGGTTTTCCTGTACACATGAGTTTGTAAAGTCTCGTCATGTGCTCTGCTTATGAGGACATCTAAGAATGGAGTGTTTTCATTGGGTCCCTCCTTCTTTGTGAGATGAATTTCTTTAAATGTTTCGTTGATTAGTTTGAACGTGTTTCATATTTCATCTTCCTTGAAAATTAAGAATGTGTCGTCGACGTATCGAATCTAAATTTTCAGCTTGATACCAAACCATCATCATCCTCTTTGCATCATTTCAAACTGCTACTTATTGCTGGTTTTATATATTTACATCTTACTTTAATCATGTATTACAACATGGTTTGATTAGACCTATTCTTATAAGACCCCATTAGTTGTGTGCCCAACTCGTGTAAAAGGGGTTTACTAATGGTGGACATTTAATTTTTGTGACTCTAAAAGTCACCCTGACTATGACTGAAACTGCCAATTAGCTCTCTTCATTGAGTCTAAAAAGGCAGACTTTCATTTAATGGAGAAGATTGATTGGTTATTTCATTTGTTGTTAGCGTGGCCCATGATATTTTATGATCTCTAATATCATTTGAAATATCTTTGTTTCACACAATTTGTTTGGAAGATTTGTATCTCAAAAGTTATTTCCCAAGCCAGAAATATCAGTCACCCTGGAATGTTTTTTTCATTCTCTAAAGTGTTATTAGTCAACAAAATCTGTTCATCTGATTTTTAGTCAGGGTTATAATCTTTATTTAAGGAATTTGAACTATTCGTTATCACTGATTAGTCAATGTTTTCATTCTTGTAGTTTCTGTCTTTTTAATTTATCATGATCATTATTCTATCTACTGTAAAATCAGTTGTCCTGTCATTCTGTGAATTGACGTGTGTTGATTTTATATGTGATTTTTTCTTCAATATGACTTCATTAGGAAGAATTTTCTAATGACAGTTTTCCCAATCATCATTTTTGCTTGAATGCACAAATTTTCTTTATTATTACTTTCACCCTACTTTATTCTACTGCAGAAATCTTGTGGTCTACTTACAACAATCAAATGCCAAAGTCCGAAACCAGTTAATTCTACAGCCATACCTTGCATTGCAGAAGAATCCTGCGAAACCTTGGATGAAACTACTATTTCCTCTACAACATTGTCAGTATCACCATTACCAGATAATTTCGTCAATAAACAGCAGGCAGTATTCAGTAATAACCAATCATTATTCGGTAGTGGTTTCATTTCTAAGGTTTGTCTGACCAGGTCAAATTAACTTTTTTCCAATGCAATCTTCATAACACAGATCAGAAAAAACGTACATCCACAAGCACACTGAGATGAAGTCTTCGGTCTAATTTTCTGAAACTATAAGTTTTGGTATCACATAATAAGACAACTGCTACTGACTTGTTTCTGAAGATCTATCGACTTTATAGCGGTTTTATCTAGTATCCCGTATTTTAGATCTGCAGCAGTATATACCGCCATTATTGTTTAATCTGTGATTGACACTTTCAGTACACAGTTATCCTTTTAATTATATATTTATTATTATTAGTCCCTTGGGCTCCTAGTGGAACATAGGGCTTCAGTAGCACGTCTCCAGTGACCTCTGTTCTCTGAGATCTTTTGAACCTGGTCCCACGACAGCCCAGCAGCTCTCATTTCTTCCTCGCACGACCTCCTCCATGTCACCCTTGGACGTCCAACTCGTCGCTTCCCATGGGGATTTCACTCGAGGGCCTGACGCGTGATGTCCTCCGTCGGCCTTCTCAGTGCATGGCCAATCCATCTCCACTTCTTCCTGCATATTTGTTGAGTGATAGGTTCTTGGTTGGTTCGTTCCCAGAGTTCCTTGTTGCTTATTTTTTCTGGCCATCTGATCTTCAGCAGCGAGCGTAAGCAGTTGTTGATGAATGTCTGTAGTTTATTGGAAATGCCTTTCGTGACGCGCCAAGTCTCTGAGCCATACAAGAGCACTGACTTGACGTTGGTGTTGAAAATCCGTATCTTGTTCCGCATGCTGAGTGCAAAAGATCTCCACACTGGTTTCAGGCTAATGAACGCCTGTCTTGCTTTTCCGATTCTGACTTTGACGTCCTCGTCCGTCCCGCCTGTAGTTGAAACAGTGCTTCCTAGATAAGTGAAGGAGGTTACTTCCTTTAAGTTTCTCCCGTTGACAGTGATTGGAGTTTGTTGTTGTTGTTGTTGATGGTGGTGGTGCGGTATCTTCATCACTTCTGTCTTCTCTATATTCACCTGAAGTCCCGTCTTCGCTGCCTCTTCTATCAACTTGTTAGTTTTTGCCTGCAGATCTTCAATTTTGTGTGACATTAGGCATAAGTCATCGGCGAAATCCAAGTCTTCTAGGTTCTTTTCCGTCGTCCAGCGTATCCCCCTCTTCTCACAGCTCCCCACTGTTTGCTGCATGATCCAGTCGACCACAATCAAGAATATCATGGGGGATAGTAGGCAACCTTGTTTCACTCCTGTCTTCACTTCAAAGGCATCACTGAGCTTCCCATTGTGGATTACTTGGCATGTAGCATCTTCATATAGTTGTTGAATGAGGCGGATAAAGGTTTGCGGTACTCCGTAGTATTGAAGCAGTTTCCAAATTACTTCTCGGTCGACGCTGTCAAAGGCCTTCTCAAAGTCGATGAAGTTGAGGTGGAGAGGTGATTGCCATTCTATGCTCTGTTCTATGATGATACGAAGCGTTGCAATTTGGTCTGCACATGATTTGTACTTCCTGAAGCCTGCCTGTTCCGGTCGTAGTTTTGAATCCAGTGCATCCCTTAGCCTCTCCAGGATGATGCGGCTTAATATTTTACTTGGGGTGGACAGGAGAGTGATTCCTCGCCAGTTCTTGCAAACACTGAGGTCTCCCTTCTTCGGCAGTTTGACAAGGTAACCCTTCTTCCAATCAATGGCCAGGTACCTTCTCTTCCTTCCAGACCTTCTGCAATAGTGGTGTGGTGTAAGCATGTCCGCTGTTGTCTCTGCATCTGTTCTCAGTGCTTCTGGCGGTATTCCATCTGGTCCTGCTGCTTTCCCGCATTTCAGTAGCTTTATGGCGTTCAGGACTTCCATTTTTGTTGGGGGATTTATGTTCACTTGTAGTTCAACGGCTGCAGGTGGTATTTCTGGACGAAGTGCAGGTGGTGGTGGTGCGATTCAAGAGCTTCTTGAAGTGGTCGGCCCATCGTTTCCTCTGTTTCTCTTCTTTTGTAATTAAATTTCCTTCTTCATCTTTTATTGGTTTCATCTGTGTTGGTCTATTCCCTGATAGCAACCTGGTTATTTGATACAATGTCGTCAGGTCTCTCTTACCTGCAGCCTGTTCTGCTTCACTTGCCAGTGTTTCGTAGAAGTGTCTTTTGTCTTTGCGAGCACTCTTCTTCACTTCTTTGTCCAGTGTTTTATACATTGTGCTCAGTTCCTCTTGTCGTTGAGCGTCCTTGCACTGGTTTATCTTCTGCTTCACCATCCTCCTCTCCTCTATCAGCTTCCAGGTATCTGTCGAGATCCATTCCTTGTCTTCTTTCTTCTTCCTTCCTAATACTGTTGTGCAGGTTTCTTTCCACATAGCTTTCAAAGACTTCCAGTGTTCTTCCACACAGGTTTCTTCAGGGATGTTGCTCGATGTCTCCCATTTTGTCTTGATGGCTGCCTTGAAGATCTCCTTTGTAGTTTCATCCTTCAGTTTCCGAGTGTTGTACTTGAATTGAGGTCTATCACCAGCTTCCTTGAAGGCTTTTAACTTGATTTGGAAGGTTCCTTGCACTAGATAGTGGTCTGAACCTACATCTGCTCCTCTTCTTGACCTTGTGTTAAGTAGACTGCGTCTCCATTTTCTTGAGATTGAGATAAAGTCGATTTGATTTTTAGTGTGTCCTGGTGTCTGTTGAAATCCATGTCGCTTTGTGGATATCCTTGTGCTTGAACACACTGCCTCCAATCACCAAATCGTTGAATGCACAGAATTCTGCAAACAATTCTCCATTCTCATTCATTTCACCTAGCGCCTCTCGACCCATGGTTAGTTCTCTTCCCGTGTTGTCCCCTCCCAGTTTGGCATTCATGTGGCCCATTAGAATTTTGATATCGCCAACTGGCGTCTTGTCCAGTGTTGATTGAAGTTGTCTGTAGAATTCCTCCTTTTTCTCTTGCTCTGCATTATTTGTAGGTGCATAACATTGTATGATTGTGACCTTTCTTCCTTTTGAGTTGAATCTTGCTGTCATGATCCTGGAGGAGATTGGTTCCCACTGCATGAGAGCCTTCGATGCTATTGGAGACATCATGATAGCCACTCTATAACTCAGTGTGCTCGTGGTTGTCGTCTGGGTGACAATATCGGGGTAGATTATTGATTCTCCAGTTGACAGTTTGGAGAGTCCACTCCCATTCCATCTGCTTTCGCAAATTCCAAGCACTTCAATGTGATACCTTCTCATCTCCTTTGCAATCTGGGCTGCCTTACTGGGTTCAAACATCGTTCGGACATTCCATGTCCCCACGTTTACTTTCGCTTTCATCGAGAGAAGACACATCGGCCAATTGGCTTCCCGAAGGCTTTCACCAACTGGCGTCATTTCGCCTCTCCGATTCCAGCGGGGAATAAGTTTGTTTTCATTTTTTATATTTTGTTTGTGCTTTGAAGTTTCTTTAGCGGTTAGATTTGTTTTACGGGGTAGGGTTGCTAGCCCTATGCCCAACCTTCCCTCTTTACCCGGGCTTAGGACCGGCTAGTAACTAGTAAACTAGTTAACCAGGCGAGGTTGCCGCCTAGTATAATTGCGCTCTAATCAGAAGTCAAGTTTCTCTCTGGCATCAGAGATGGTACAAGTTTGTAAACAAGAGACGGCTCTTTTGAATCTGTCCTGATAAACTGCTACAAATGAATCAATGAGGGTTGATGCAACTGTTGAAGTAGTCAGTTCATCCAATGACTTAAATTCCCATCCTTAAACTCGAATTCAGTGTAAAGTAGTCCTGAATTATTATCTTATATTTTGTAGGTATAAAATGAGTGCCAAGCGTACGAAAGTTTCTGCTCAAACTGTTTGAAAGACCCTGTGTTTCTTCAGTGAGTCAGCCTAAGAGGACTGTTTCATTTAATGACTGTTTATCCTTCAAATATAAAACCACTATTTGAGTATTCAGAAGTGAGTAGAGAAATATTCAGTAACATAAACATAGGGAAATTATTCGGGAGTGGTAGAGTAAACACCTCTGATGGATAACACAAGTTGATTTCACTTCGGATGAAAACTCGCTATGGGCTATTAAACAACTGGGTAAGTTTGACTGAAAAGCCTTTATTAGAATGACATCCTTCCTCAGCACTACCTTTACAGTGATATGCTACAGATATGCTTCTCAATCCATTAAGTTGGTGCCACTAACAGGTCAGGTGTGCACTCCTGTGTTTTTGAACCTGTCAAAGGGTAAAAATATGATTTAATTGAGGAAGCATTAGGAAAAGATTGGAAACTAAACATGCACATATCCATTACCAAAATCATTGACAAATATTGTATCAGTTACAGAAGCCAAGCTATCATCAAACCGATTAATGACTTTATGAACGGTGGATTACTTTAAATAATATTATCAAACTTTAAATTGCATTAAAACAGAAGCAGATGCCAATACAAACGATTGTTACTACTGCGTCTAAATAGGTACATCATAATATGAAGTAAAAGCGGAGTACAAAGGAAAACATGGGGAAAATACTATCACTTTAGTACTGAACCATTGCATGGAACCATATTCACACGGAACTAATCTCTTTCTGATCCTCATACTTGACCATATAAATAGATACATGGTTAGTGTAAATTTAAACCTGACAGTTCACTGCAAACTAATGTTTACATTACAGCTTTTGTAAAAAATAATTTACTTGAGATATTGATTTTCTGTTTTCGACTACCGCAAGCTCCAAAAAAAGCAATGATATCTGCTATGTACGGTATTTATATTAGTGTTCCGTGAGACCAACAGAAGTTGTCGTATAAGTTTTCATAAAGAATGATTATTTTGCATTCGAACTATAATTTCTTATGTGTTCGACGCTGATTTGATACAAAGGGTTTCAATTATCGATCTTCTCCTCCACGCCAATAATTAATTTTTCAGGACTGTCACATTATCTCTTCTTATTACATTGTCATGTTTGGTTACATGCATCAAAATACCTGATTTTTCTCCTAGATTCGTTGTTTTCCTAGGGCCTAC